TCGTACACAGCGTGTCGACGTTAAAAATTTCGATGTTTGAATTTTCATTCAGAAAAACAAAAATGATATGTTAGTCGTGTTTCGTTAGCTCAATGGTAAGAGCACTGGTCCGGTTAACCAGTTATCATGTCTTGGGTTCGATTCCCGAACGAAGCATATCATTTTGTTTTTCTGAATGAAAAATTCAAACATCGAAAGATAAAAGGAAGAAAAAGTATATCATATAAAAAATTGATTTACCTTTCATAGAAAATAACTATAATCTTTGCCATTTATATAATGTTCTTGTATTTCGTTATCACTTCCAATCTATATATAGTTAATGCTATTTGTAATTCTATGTATCAAATGATCGATATTATTTCATGGAATTTAATCAAAACATATGTAATGTATATTGTCACATTTGAAACCTTTTTTTTTAATATTTAAGAGTCCTCAATACAAAATGCATGTCAATCACAACCTTGGTAAGAACTATCGATTGAAATATCATCAAATTAGATCTTTTCTTTTTAATAGTCAAAATGGTGGTATTTGCTATCTTACATTAACTGACTTTGCGTGTGTATGTCCGACTGGTTACAGTGGTACACGTTGTGATATAAATTTAGTTGCAACTAATCCATGTTTTCATAGTCCATGTCAAAATAGTGGAACATGTCTCGTATTAGATCCTTTTAGATATCGATGCATATGTTCAAATGGATTTCTTGGTGTTCGATGTGAACAACGTATATGTAATCCAAATCCATGTCTATCTGGTGGTATATGTTTACCACATGGTAATACTTTTCAATGTCAATGTCCATCGCAATATGGTGGACGTTATTGTGAACATCTGACGAAAACAGCATTAATATTAGCGTAAAAAGATGTGCCATTTCTTCCTAAAATAGTTACTGTTCCTTTCTTTTTTTTTCAACTATGACATCATTTATAGCAAATGTATTTGATTGATATTGCTTTGCGATCTATTGCATTGTTCTTTTTTCGTTCTCGTTAATTTTACTTCTTCTCTCTTTTTTTGGTCACCAAAGAGGTAAAACATGAACTAGTGGCATCTTACCAATGTTTTGCTGTGCAATTATATCTAACATTTAAGACTCACTTTTATGCAATATATCTGCGTATCTACGTTAAGAAAGATTTCATCGATATCATCTCGTCTGATCGTTTAGGGGTGAATGTGGATGTGCTTCGATTGTAGACAATACACACACACACACCCTGAATGGTAGTACTCAATATTGTAGAGTAGTTCTAACTTCAACTAAAAGTTGCATACCTCAATTCAACATTCAAGCTTGACACTACTGTATTATTTATTTGTTATGTTTTTCAATTTCAGAAAATTTAAGTCAATCTCAATGCTTTGTTTCTTTTACAAATTTAGTACTAAATGAAATCTGTTCCTTTCTTAATTCCAACTCTTTGCGTTGTATTCTGATTGGACGAGAGAGGTTTATTGAAAATATTCTTGAACATAAATCAAATATCCTTCACAAGATGACTAATGTCCGCGCCAGAATTAAAGAGGGGTAAGTGGAAATTGAATAACTCAACAGCAGCAACAGCTAGCGATCTGCGGTTTTCACCAATCGAAAGAGCAAACCGGGGGACGTATTTTTTCACGATATTGTTTCGGACGAAATTGCTTTGGACACTGTCATTTCTGAAAGTCTTTTCTGAGAAGACGTACAAATGGTATGCCAATACAATGAATTTTTATATTGATATTCTCATTAGATAGAGAGACTTCATATCTATAGTTCAAGATACAATGCCCTTGCTTACTTTTCATTACATTTTCATCGAAATGTCAAGCTACTATGATAAAAAGTGCGACAACTTAGCAAAAAATCAGCAAAATTCCCTATTATTGGCGTATGTAAATACATGGTTCCATTTGCTCAACGTTAGAATATAATAAGACAACAATTTGCATTGTATCTTGAACTATAGATCTGAAGTCTCTCTATCTAATGAGAATATCAAAATAAAAATTCATTGTATTGGCATACCATTTGTACGTCTTCTCAGAAAAGACTTTCAGAAATGACAGTGTCCAAAACAATTTCGTCCGAAACAATATCGTGAAAAAATACGTCTCCCGGTTTGCTCTTTCGATTGGTGAAAACCGCAGATCGCTAGCTGTTGCTGCTGTTGAGTTATTCAATTTCCACTAACCCCTCTTTAATTCTGGCGCGGACATTAGTTTAGCCTTGTTTTAATTTTGTCTACATATCACCAGTATTTAGTTTATGAACTATAAATCCGAATCTCAAACTTGTCAACGTATGCAAGCATGTGTAGAATTGTCGGTACTTAGAAATATCACTAACGATGAAAGAAGCTAGAGTACGAAATGGACACTCTTTATATATCTATACTGCGTCATGCTTTTACTATGATTTATCTGAAGCATTCACTTTCCTCCTTTGATATCATTCTGAATATACAACAGGGTGTGGGTGTGGGTATGGGTGTGGGTGTGGGTGTGGATGTGGGTGTGGGTGTATGTGGGGTGGGTGTGAGTGTGGGTGTGTGGGTGTAGCGTGTGATTTTCGATGATGCTCAAGAAGGACGCAATGCCACACTCACACCCATCTCCCACCCAAACCCACACCCACACCCCTTTATAAATCGGGTACCAATAGACCCCGTCATATCCAGAAATTTCGGAATTATTAGACCTGATTCGACTTGGTTCCATAACCAACCTGGAGGTTTCAATGTACAGATGAGTCTTCTAATAAGCCTTCTCCCATTCACCCTCTTATCTCATTTAAAAAGAATAGGAGAGATATAAATAAACGTTACCTTATAATGTTCTTGTGAATTGTGTAAGTTTAAAAATGATCTATTATTCAATGCGAGAAAACGGTGCTGCCAATACACATTGAGGTATTGCCCACCGTTCTGAAGACATTATTGTTGTTGTTGGAACATACGTTTCCGTATCATCATGAATTATATGAGATTTACATGGTATAATCCATCGATTATGTTTTTTATTTTCTTGTAAATCACGTCTTCTTGCATCATTAAATTTTTCTTTAAATTCTTCATGATTATGATTAATCCAATTTTGAGAATTTAATAAAAATTCTCTATCGAGATAACCAACACTTTCGCATATAATACCAAATAAACAATCTTCTAATTGTGTACTACCTTCAACCATTTCTATATTGTGACGTGATGGAATTTTTCGACGTGGTGTTCGTTCATAAAATGGATTGAATGCATGTTCTATTGTTGTACGACGTAAAACATGAAAAAATTCACGTAACATTATCACTAATAATGCTCCAAACATAACTGAATTGTCCTTCAAATTTTTTGCATCATCAATTAATTCTAATAGAATAATATTTTTATTTATAATTATTGTTCTGTTGAAGCATGTGATGGCACTAAAACATGTTGATAAGTTGGCGAATGTTATGCCACGTTTTTCAATTATCTCTTCAATTGTACTATCAATGATATCTAAAGTAAAAAAACAATCGTATACAAACTAAATATCACATTTACTTTGAAATTTAGGAGAGAACGGAGGGAAGGGCTCTTATATTAACATAACTTGAACCTTTGTCTGTCTATCGAGGATATCCTCAATGATATGTGTACGGAATAAAAAAAACTGGTTAACTAATTTCTTGAATTATCAATTAAGTTTAAAATTAATTAAATATTTTAGGTAGGAGAAGATTTTACAAATTCTTTCTAGTGTATCAAATGAATGTTAGAGTCGAAAGGTAAAAATGTCGAAAATGAAAGTAAGGCATCAAAATGTGGGTGAGGATGAAGGAATTCCTCTTTTCATACACTATCATTTCCAGCATTCGTGCCTTTCAGCATTTCTATAATTTTTGTTTTCGATATTTTTACTTTCGACTAATGTAGGGTAAGCCAACGAAGAGAACAAAAAAGAGTCAAATATTATAACAACATATGCAAGTATTCATTTTAAAAAATGTAATCGTTTTCAAAAGAAATGCTTAAGTGAATTTATTAAAAGGATTTCTTTTACCTTTAAAACGATCAGCATCAAGAATATTCTTTGATTCTAGTTCATCATTGATTAATTCATAATAAATATTTTTAACAAATTCAGTATGTAAAATAGTACGAAATAATTTAATAAAATCATTTAATATTGACCAATTCGAAATATTTTTATTAATAATATCATCTTGTAATATTGTTGAAAATAAACATAAATCTTCAGTTGTTATTGTTCTATGTGATATTATTGTAATTAAAAATGTACCTATAAGTGAAAAATATGACGATAAATGTAAATGATCATTATTGATTAGTTCGAATTTGCCAAAAATATTTTTCTTTTGTGTTAAACGTAATAGATGATATAAGTTAATATTATCTAATTCAGTATTTTGTTTAATAATAGTTTAATGTTGATTTATCAAAATTGATAAAAAAACAAAGAAATATTTTTTCAATAGATTATTATAATTATAATATAATTCATATATTATGTGTTTATACATTAATGGTGAACAATCCATTGAAATTACGTTGAATTTTTCTTCCATATTTAGTACATTTTCAACACCATTCATCACTTTTATGAATGTTTTAATAAAATCATAAATTTTTTCCGATGTAAGATTTAATACGTATTTATCAATATCGGGTATATCATTGACGCGAATTCGTTCAAGTTTCTTCTTAGTGGAATTTCGATCAAGATCATCATCATCATCGAATAATGTTGATTTATTTTTCTTTTCAGATGATGCCATTTTGTTTCATGAAAAAATTAATCTATAATCTAAAAACAAGAAATAATTTCTTATTTTCAATATACTGTGTTTATCTAACGAAAACAAAAGTGACTAGAATCATCAGTGACCTACATGATGCACTACTTATTTATTGCCAGTGTTCCGAATGGAAATCTAAAACAAAATGTACATGTACACTTTGTTTAATCAAGCAAAATGTATGTGTACATCTAGTTTTCGAAAGCAGAGTGTACCAATGTGTACAAATCGAATTGAATTATATAATCTAGAAAATAAACAAATGTTCATATTTTTATCTTATCAAAAATGTATAATAAATGTATAATACTAAATAAACAAT